TTCTGTTATTTGCTTCACTGCTTGCTGTATTGACTATAAATAAACTCCTGGGACTGAAGCCAGGGTCGACTCTTCAGAGTGACCCTCCTGGCCCCACTTCTCTGTAAGAGTTGTGTTTGGTTACTGTCTCCGCCGTCCCGACAACTGTCGCCACTACGACACCCAGGGTGCTTTGGAAGATAGGTCTGGCGATCTGCTTCCAAGAGATCACATCCTTGAAAACCCTACGGACCAATTCTACTCTGCATACATGGGGTCGCCAAGTCAGGATCGCCTCTACAGTAACTAACAAGTTGTTAGAATTTAGGTTGTTTGCAACTTTTTTTTGCTCTTACATGTAATATTAAGCAGCAGGTGATGCAAACAGTTAAATGCTTGGCTGACAACCAAAAGGTTGGTGGTTCAAACCCACCCAGCAGCCCTGTAGGAGAAAGACCTGATGATCTGCTTCTGTAAAGATTACACCCTAGAAACCGTATGGGGTAGTTCTACTCTATCACATGGGGTCACCATGAGTTGGAATGACTCAAAGCCACCCAACAACATGTAATTCTGCAATCAGCACACTGGAACATAAAACTTTTCGTTTATAGCTATTTTCTTAGGATTGACTTGCTAAGTTAAATAATAATAGTTCAAAGGGAATGAACATTTTAAGGATTTTAGATAAAACAGTGCCTACTTGCTTTTTGGGGATGTGGGGAGTTTTTTTTATCATCAGTGAAGTAATGTATTAAAGTGCCTGTTTCCACAGTGGTGTTTAATACAGGTTCAAAAACTTAACATTTATCCACATGAAGCTTAATTTTGTTAGCACTGGTCCATTTATCAGAGCCCTGGTGGCACAGTGGTTAAGAGCTTGGCTGTTAACCAAAAGTTCAGCTGTTGGAATCCATCAGTCGCTCCTTGGAAACCCTATGGGGCACTTCTAACTCTGTCCTGTAGGGTGGCTATCAGTTGGAATCAACTCGATGGCAACGGGTTTGGTTTTCGGGTTTTGGTGGTCCATTTATCTAGCTGATGGAAATGGAAAAATCTTAGTCTGTCGTTTATCACATTACCTATCCGGTAATGCAACATATTGCAAGCCAGCTAAATATGCTATGTTTCTTCACCTAAGGCATACAATTTTTACATAAAAATAAGCTAAGAATAGAATCCAAAGGAGGACAGTTAAGGCCACGTTGACAAATATCAATTTACCAGCATTCTTTGGATAATGTTTCTGGAGCTTCACTGCCAGGTTTACCAACATTTGGATCATGACTAATCAAAGAATACTGAAGCCACCTAACTGTAGTATCTTACCCTACTTTTCTCCACTATGTTCACAAGTACATAATAGGAAACTCTGTTAAATATAGTATCGAGGGACGACTCTGCTTTATCTTCGACATTTTCTTCATGATTCTCAGCAACTCTTCAGGATAAAGGCTATATCTTACTCATTTTTGTATATCAGAGCCTAGGACGGAACTTGTTTGGCACATAGTAGGTCCTCAAAAAATGGTTGTTTTAATGATATACTTAATCTGGTATGAATTTAATGAACCACTGTTGTCGCAACGTAAACACCACTTTCATTTCCAGACCATCAAGACATACGTTTGTTTAGAGACAGCAACATGTGTAATGGAAATAATGGGCATTTAATAATAAGTTTGTTGAACACATACATAAATACGTAAAAATGATTTTAAACAGAAAAACAATACAAATGTCTTCAAAATGAGTTTAGAATAAGCTCAGGAACACCACCAGGCTTACCACTTTGTGGTCTATTGGAATCCACCTTTCTCCCTTTTTGCAATGTGGTACATTTGCTTATATCCGTTCTTACATCACCTCTTCTGTTTGCCACAATTTCTTAAATACTGTCAACAAACACCCCCCCTTCACAACCGCAATGCTGCCTTTCCGAGAAAATCTTTTACAAAAAAAACTCAAATGTTAAAATTACATTTCCTTTCATAGCAATCCTTTAAAATTCCTGAAAACTTTTTTTTTTTTTTTAAATATAGTAGAGCAAAACCTCAGAGATTGCTGAGGGAAAAACTATCTTTTAAAAATGAATTCCAAACCAAGACTACGCTGATTAGAGAAAAGCAACCTACAGCATTTATAACTGAAAGCTTCCTAGGCATGTTGTCTCCAGGTGGCACCTTACCGAGGGCCTTTAGTGATACAGAAGCAGAGGAAACAGGTGCTGGACTGAGCAGGGGGTTTGTCAACATCAACCTTTCTTGGCTCCATTCTTTGGCAAAGGGCCCGGAAGTTCGGGTAACCAGTCCCGTAGTTCCATCACCTTCGCGGGGAAGGGAAGAGAAGAGGAGGTGAAAAAAGAAAGGGGGAAGCGAAGCGGATAAACAAAATGAAATTATTCTTCAACTAGAGCAAGGGCAGGGGCCCGGCTCCCAGGTGCGGCCCCTGAAAATGACATTTTACTTTCTGCCAATTTTGTCTTTCCAATTAAAAAACGACATCTGGCTTTACAAAGAAGGAAGAAAATATACAAAAAAGGAAGGTATTCGATCTCGGAAGTTTCACCACCCCGACCAGTGTCTGGAAACGCCAGCGAGGAGCGCCCGTCCAACCGTGGCGGATTCGGGGAGGCCCCGCGGGTCTCAAGCCCGGCCCGGCCTCCTCTCGCGCTCCCGCTACCCACAAACCTCTGCGCCTCAGCGCGCAGGCGCAGCGGCGACGGCCGGCTCAGGAAGAGGAAAATGGAATAAACAACTCCGAGGAACCAGAGCGCGAGAGAGCGAGTGGAGGCAGAATTTAAAAATAAACCGCCCCTCCGCCCTCCCCACCCCTTGGCCGCCGCCGCTCCCTCTTCCCCTCCCCGCGCCCTCGGAGACTCCGCCTGGGCCCGCGCGCCCACCCCAGCGTCCCGCGCGGCCCCTTTAAGAAAAGAGATCGAGTGAGTGAGTGAGAGAATCCCAACTCTCCCCCTCCCCTCCCCTCCTTCTTACCCCCTCCTCCCTCCCCTCTCCCCGGGCGGCTCCGGCTCCCGCAGCGGGACAGACCCACCCGCCCAGGCTTTTATCCGGCACCGGCAGCGTCTTCCGTCCCTCCCCCGTCTATGGTAGCGGCGGCGGCGGCGGCTCCTCCGGCGGCAGCGGAAGACGGGGCTGCGGCGTTGCAATGAACAGTGGCGGCGGCCTCCCGCCCCCCTCGGCCGCCGCCTCCTCTTCCTCCTCCTCGCTGGCGGCGGCAGTGGCGGTGGTGGCCCCGCCGGGGGTCGGGGGTGTCCCCGGCGGGGCGACGGCGGGAGTGAAGCTGAAGTACTGCCGCTACTACGCTAAGGATAAGACTTGCTTCTACGGGGAGGAGTGTCAGTTCCTGCATGAGGACCCAGCCGCCGGGGCTGCCCCGGGCCTCGGCCTCCATAGCAACAGCGTCCCCCTGGCGTTGGCGGGCGCGCCCGGCGCCGGCTTTCCGCCCGGAGCGGTCCCGGGCGGAGGAGCGGGGCCGCCCCCGCCGCCGGGGCCCAAGAAGCCGGACCTGGGGGCACCCGGAGCCGCAGGCGGCGGAGGCGGCAGCGGCGGGGGACTCGATGGAGCGCGGCTGGCAAGTGAGTTTGGCCTGGGCGGGAGGGTCGCCCCGGAGGGAAGGCCTGTGGCCCAATGTGGCCCTGCTGCCGAGGGGCATCGGGCCGGCCCGCGGGCTACCCCCTCACCTCCTTTGGCCGTCAGAGAGGCCTAGGCCTGGCCCGAGCCCTCCTTCCTTCTTCCCGCTTCCTTTCCCCACGGCCTGTGGCGAGCCGGGGAGCGAGGGAACGCTGGGTTCCCGGGAGCGTGGGTGGGTGGACTAGGGTGATGGGAGTGGGGGCGGGGAGGCAGGGGGATGGGCTGTGGCCCGCCGCGAGTGAGAAAGGGGGTGTTGTTTCCGGGAGGTGTGGAAAGGGGCCGGGTTTGCAGGCACATGTGTTTTGCGTGCCCGTGTGGAGTGGTGTCTGCCGAGTGTTGAGTAGCCCTAGTGGGTGTGTGTGTGTGGGCCGGGGGCGGGAGGGGAGGGCGGGCTTAAGGCTTCCTGGAGTAGGTTGAGAGAAGGAAAAAAGTTTGAGGAAGTCTTGTGGGAGAAAGGTTTTCCAAGCAGGAAATGATTTCTAAGGATTAGGAGTAAAGGCACCGACGCTTTTACAGTGTGCAGACGTTTAATCGAGAGTTTAGAAAAGGAATTTCACAGGATTTGCATTTCAGCATAGTTTTCCTGGAAGCTAGAATGTTTGCTGAGTGTCAGTAGGGAGCCGGTCTTGTACAACTTTCTATCCTTGAAAGCGTGTTAAGTGCGCATACACTTGTGAACGATTGAGCGCGTTGGTTGAGAGGTTTCAGCGCACTGTATAGTTTCATTTGTTATTATTTATTGACTTGCAACTTTTTAGTTTTAGTGCATGGAGTTTACAATTATAAGTGCAAGTGTAATCTATTTTACAGAAAGTTGCCCTTAAGGAAAGAGTAGAGGAGGTGTCAGATTTTCCTTTTTTGTTTCTTAGTATTACGTGAGCGTTTCTAAACCAAATGAGAAAATCATGCTTTCTTAGGAAGTCTAAATAGCTTTTAGATCTTAAAATATTTAGATAGGTGGTTTAACTTGAACATGAGAACATGTGGGTGGGTGTATGTGTGTTTTATTGTAAATTAACTTGGGATATGAGTTTTTAGCACATATTTGGTCTATCAGGAGCCCTGGTGGCGCAGTGGTTAAGAGCTCCGGCTGCGAACCAATAGGTCGGCAGTTCGAATCCACCAGCTGCTCTTTGGAAGCCCTGTGGCGCAACGGGTTTGGTTTTTGGTTTTCCCAGAAACTTGTTTTTTGAGCAGGTATTTCTTTTAGTTTAGTGGACTTGACTTTAGCGCACATATAGTTGGTGAGATTGATACGTTTAAGAAGATTAATTTGTAACTTCAGATGTTTTGTAAAGAAGGATTTCTGGGTGAAATTTTGTCACTTTTGAGCAGTAGCTTTGCATTTTCAATGTAAGCTTTTGCTGGATCTGTGGGTTATGGCTGAAGTTAATTTATCAACCGGATAGTAGTTTTATTATTCACAGAAGGGGCAGTTTTTAAAATGCAGCTATCTAATATGTGATCTTTTAAGAATTTTCTAGTGAACATAATAGGTAGTAGAGTTGGGACATGATAAATAGGATAAGAAATAAACAGGTGAAGATGAGAGGTGAAGGTAAGCATTTTAGGTGGAAGAAAAATATTACTAATGGCTCAAAGGTGGCCCCATTCCATGTCTCAAGAAAGGAAAATAATTGTCTAGGATATGGGGTCTTGAGGGGGTGGGCAGTTAATACTAAAAAGGCGTTTTACAATTAATATTTAGTCATCTTTTAGTTATCTGATTAATTTGCTGATTCATGAATTTGGGTTCTGTGGGGTTTCCTTTAACTTGACTGGGTGGAGCCTAAGGCTTCTCTTTCTGAGGTAGGCTTCTTGGTATCTCCCAGTGGTACCTAGGTTGTGACTTCTCCAGGTAGAGAGAAAACTGCTCCAGGTCACTGAGTGGCAAGTCAAGCTGCTCAGGAGTCAGCAAAGACAGTGGTGGTGGTGATTTCCTGGCCGCTTTGTATTTTTTACATTTAACATTGTTTAAATTTTAGTGTACTTACTGTTTTTTAGTGTGTTCTTGTATTTTATCTTTTGAGCTTGGCTTGATTCATCTTTTAATTAAGCATGTGAGGCAGTGAGAAATAGATAACACTATGTTCTAAGAGGTATTGCTATTATGAGAAATTTAAAGTTTGGTGGTTGCTGATCTGGTCATGTAGCATCACTGAGATGACTTTATTTTTCGCTCTTTTAGTTTCTTTTTGCTCTTCTTTAACCGTAAGAATATATAGTACTTTTTTAGCTGAGAAGTCACAAACTTATCAGCTCTGATAAGCTGGGTCTGTCTGCAGAAATAATTTGTTGGATCTCCATGACATAACTTTTTATTGAAGTAGAGCAAACCTAGAGAATAGTGTAAAGTTTTAAGTTCTAAGAATTTTCACAAGATGAACACATACAATGCAACCAGCACTCAGATCAAGAAATAGAAGTAATCAGGGCCAGGTCCCAGTCATTACTCCTTCCCAAACCATATATTCTAACACTGTGGACTGATCTTGTACTTTTTTGAAATTTATAGAAATGGAATCATGTGGTGTGTACTCTTCTGTGGGTTTCTTTCAACACTGAGGTTGTGACAGCCGTTCATGTTGTATAGGAATAGTCCCTTTAGTCTCATTCCTGTATGTTGTTGTTAGTCGCTGCGGGCGGTGCGATTAATTACTTTCATTACTTTCGTGTGTGGACCTTCTAGCCATGGTCTTGTGAGTCCCACCCAGGTGATAGGGTGGGGCTGTGCAGATAAGGTAATTGTGGCCCACTGAGGGAATTGGTCAGTTTTGCCTTAAGAGAGAGACAATTCCAGAGCAGAGAGGAAGAACCCACTACCAAGGAGGGAGAGACCAGCAGGAGATGGCGCGTTGGGCTTTCTGGCCGGAGAGAGAAAGCTGAGGGGTAGGGAGAGGTATGCCTGCGAGCACAGCTTGGGGAGAGGCTATCCTGATGAAAGAACTGTATCCTGAGTGTTTTTGAGCCTAAATTGTAACTATTACTTCCCTAATAAACCCCATAATTGTGAGTATGGTCTGTGAGTTCTCTGTGGACCTTGCAGTGAATTATTGAACCCGGTAGAGAGTGCTGTGGGAGGGATGGTTGTGTTAGAATTAGTGAAGATGGCGGAGAGAGGAGGCTTGTCTGGCTCCACCTCATGGGAGTCAGGCTTGTGCTGTTGATTGGTTCTCTTTCCCCCTTGTGGGGTTGGAGCAGGACAGACACTGCCCCCAAGCCATTTTTACAGGCCCTGTCGAATCAGTTCCAACTCATAGCAACCTTATGTACAACAGAATGAAACACTTCTACTCTTGCACAATCATCATAGTCATTGCTCTATATGAGCCGATTGTTGCAGCCCCTGTGTCGATCTATCTCTTTGAGGGTCTTCCTCTTTTTCACTGCCTCTCTACTTTACCAAGCATAATGTCCTTCACCAGGGACTGGCCCTTCCTGATAACATGTCCAAAGTAAGTGAGACAGAGTCGCCATCCTTGCTTTTAAGGAGCACTCTGGTTGTACTTCTTCCAGGACAGATTTGTTCGTTCTAGTCTTCCTTATTCATTGTCCAGCTTTTTCATGTATATAAGGCAGTTGAAAATACCATGACTTGGGTCAGGTGTATGTTAGTCCTCAAAGTGACGTCTTTGCTTTTTAACACTTTAAAGAGGTCTTTTATAGCAGATTTGCCCAGTGCAATGCGTCGTCTGACTTCTTGACTGCTGCTTGCGTGGGCGTTGATTGTGGATTCAAGTAAAATGAAAACCTTGATAGCTTCAATCTTTTCTCTGTTTAACATGATGTTGGTTATTGGTCCAGTCGTGAGGATGTTTGTTTTCTTTATGCTGGGGTGTAATCCGTACTGAAGGCTGTGGTCTTTGATCTTCATCAGTAGGTGCTTCAAGTCCTCTTCACTTACAGCAAGCAAGGTTGTGTCATTTGCATATTTCAGGTTAATGAGTCTTCCTCTAACCCTGATGCCCCACGCTTCTTTATATAGTCCAGCTTCTCAGATTGCTTATCAGCATACAGATTAAATAAGTATGGTAAAAGAATACAACCCTGACACACACCTTTCCTGATTTTAAACCATGCAGTATCCCCTTGTTTTCTTTGAATGACTGTCTTGTGGTCTATGTACAGGTTCCTCATGAGCACAAATAAGCGTTCGGGAATTCCTGTTCTTGGTAATGTTGTTTATAATTTGTTACGATCCACACAGCGGTATGCCTTTTTACATCTTTCTGGTATTCTCTGCTTTCAGCCAAGATCCATCTGACATAAGCAGTGATATCCCTTATTCCAAGTCCTCTTCTGAATCCAGCTTGAATTTCTGGCAGTTCACTGTTGATGTACTGCTGCAACTGCTTTTGAATGGTTTTCAGCAAAATTTTACTTGGATGTGATATTAATGATATTGTTTGACTATTTCTGCATTCTGTTGGATCATCTTTCTTTGGAATGGGCACAAGCACATATCTCTTCCAGTCGGTTAGACAGGTATCTGTCTTCCAGATTTCTTGGCATAGACAAGTAAGCAATTCCAGTGCTGCATCAGTTTGTTGAAACATCTCAGTTGGCCTTGTTTTTCGCCAGGGCCTTCAGTGTAGCTTGGGCTTTTTCCTTCCATACTATCAGTTGTTGATGATGTGCTACCTCCTGAAATGGTTGAATGCCGACCAGTTCTTTTTGGTACAGTGACGCTGTGTATTCCTTCCATCATCTTTTGATGCTTCCTGTGTTGGTCAATGTTTTACCCATAGAATCCTTCAAAACTGCAAGTTGAGGCTTGAATTGTTTCTTCAGTTCTTTCAGCTTGAGAAATGCTGAGTGCGTTCTTCCATTTTGGTTTTCTGACTCCAGGTCTTTGCACATTTCATTATAGTACTTTACTTACGTCTTCTCAAGCCATCCTTGGGAATCTTCTGTTCAGCTCTATCACTTCATCATTTCTTCCTTT